AGGCAAGACTCCGTCCAAAAAAAAAAAAACAAAAAATGCAGCAGAGACATCGATAAATCTGGCGAGAGGCCATTGTTCAGAGGCAGTTACAAGTGGTCGCTTCGGGCTCAAGTTACTTGAATGCCTTTGGGAGGTCTCTGGTGCCTCATCAGTTCAGTTAGACACATGAGACATTACCTTTAAGGAGTAGAAGATAGTACTCCAGGGTGTGGGAACTCTCAATAAATGGTAGCCGTTTGTTGATGACAAAATCCATACCTCAGAGTCATGCGAGCTTTTGTTTTAACTCTCCAATGAAATCAGTCTCTCTGCGGACCTCGTTTAACCAACTTCCTTCTTACAAGTGGACTATCTAAACCTCGTTAGGCCAGGCATGGTGCTCAATGCCTGTTAAGTTCAGCACTTTGGGAGGCCAAGATGGGTGGATTGCTTGACCAGGAGTTCGAGGCAGCATGGCAACATTGTGAGGCCCATAACTACAAAAAAACAAAAAATACAAAAATTAGCCAGTATGGTGGTGCGTGCCTGTGGTCTCAGCTCAGCTACTCAGGAGGCTGAAGCAGGAGATCAATTGAGACCAGAAGTGGAGGCTGCAGTGAGCCGATGACTGTGCCACTGCACCACGCGGGTGACAATAACACTTTATTTAAAAAAAAAAAAAAAAAAAAAAAACCTGGTCTTGTGAACTATTTCCAGAAAGAGTCTAGATAGAAAAGTAGTTTTGTTTTGTTTTGTTTTGTTTTGAGACAAGGTTCTCACTCTGTTATCCAAGCTAGAGTGCAGTGGTACAACCACAGCTCACTGCAGCCTTCCACCTCCTGGATTCAAGCAATCCTCCTGCCTCAGCCTCCTGAGTAGCTGGGCTACAGGCATGCACCACTGCACCTGGCTAATTTTTCTATTTTTGTAGAGAGGGATTTCACTGTGTTATCGTTGAACTCACTATGTTGCTGGTGCTTGGGCTACTGGACTCAAGTGATCCTCCTGCCTCGGCCTCTCAAAGTGCTGGGATGACAGGCATGAGCCATCGTGCCCAGCCTGGAAAGTAGATTCTGCCCTCCTGAGGCTGCGTCATTTATTTCTTAGGACTTGAGAGACTGAAGTGTGCTAGCTTTGCTAGTGGTAGAGGGGAGACGTTGACAAACTGAAAACGGCCCACAGAGCAAATCTGGACCACTGCCTTTTTTTGTACAGTTTGCAAGTCTGAATGGTTTTCAGTTTTAAATGGTTGGAAAATAATCAAAACAAGAATGGTATTTCATGACGTGTGAAAGTTGCCTGAAATTCAAATGCCTGTGTTCATAAATAAGGTTCTATTGGAACACGCCCACAGTCATTCATCTGCAGCTGGTCACTTCTTTGATGCTAGAACGGCAGAGATGAGTGGTTTCGACAGAGATCCATGTGGCCCACAAAGCCCTTTATGGAAAACGTCCGCTGACTCCTGGTTTAGGGTAAGGATTTAGCATTCCCATGGCCCCAGCTCTGTCCCCGCCTCCCAGGCTCCCCGCTCAGCCCCAGCCCCACCCCAGAGAGTGTGTTCCTTGAGGACATGAAGCCGGGAGGACACAAACGCCCACTAGCATCTCCCTGCCAGGCACCACCTCAGGCCATGCAGAGATGTCATCTCAGTAGTGACAACATTCCCACTTTAGGAATGAGGAAACTGAGGCTCAGAGAGGCAAATCATCTGCCCGAGTTTATACAGATAATAAGTGGCAGAGCTTGGATCTGACCCCAGCCACGCTAACCTCAAACCCATACTCCACACTCTGGTTTAGAATTCCATCACCAGCCCAGAGGCAGGACACAGGTGAGGACCCCTGGGAGCCCTCTGGCCTCCGCCCAAGCTTTCTCAGGTGACACAGTGACACCCTGGGGCCTGTTCCCTTGCTAAGCACATCCCTCCCACTCCTCCATGTTCCTCCCATGTTCCAGCCTTGGCTCCCGCCTGCGTTTTCACCCGACCCTGGCAGCCAGAATAAACACGGCTGCCCCAGCACCCGCTCCCATGGAGCCAAAAGAACCTACTTCCCTGCTGCCGCGGCCTGGGATTCCAAACAATAATGAAAAAAACACCTAAACCCAGGGGAGACAGACGCAATTCCATGGAAATACTCACCCGTGGCGGGGCACGGGGGAGGCATTTCATGGACCGGGGGGAGCCATCTAACCTGCTTTTATGTGTCCAGTTTTACCCACCAGGCCTCGCCGAGGAGGGAAGGGGCCCTCCTGGCCAATGTTCTGTATTAGGAAGGGATGTGTTTGATGAGGGTTTTAAACCGTCTCTGGCCTTTGCAGATTTGCTTTCCTGGACCATGGTCCCCGTGGGTCCTCTCCCTGCAGGGATTTTCCACTCACCTGATGACTGATTTCTCCTCTCTGTTGCCTCTCGCCAGGCAAGCTGCCCAGTCGGCCATCACGTACGACTCATGTTTTCCCAGGAGCCTGTCTCCACGAAGAGACCCTCCAGGGCGGCTGATGTTAAACTTCATGAACACTTTTTTCCACTAGACCAGGAGGTTTTCCAAATCTCCGTGGCTGAACACTGCCAGCTTGTTCTGCTCAGGGGAAAGTAGCCAGTTGTCCCGCAAAGCCATGTACGTGTGTGAGTCCACGTGTGTCTGTATGTGCACATGCATCTGTGTGTGTCAATCACACCAAGCTGTCGGTATTAAAATCCTGCTCAAGAGCTGGAGGAAGGGTGAGGAGGGAGGCAGAGTAGCTCAGCAGTGAGCACAGACCTGCTGGGATTTGGCTCCCGTGAATGCAGTCTCTTGGGAGGGGAGGGGAGGGGAGGGGAAGAGAGAGGAAGGAAGGGGCCCCCCATCCCCACCCCAAAGTCCCTGAGCTGGGCACTCATGGCAGCAGAGCTCCAGATGTCACTGTTCACGCATCATGAGCCGGTGGCCCGTGGCCATCCCTGGCCTGAGTACCAATGGCCTCCTCACTGTTCTCCCGACATCCACGCAGTTCCCAGAGCTATCCCGGATTCAGCAGCCCAAGCAGACTCCGAAGACAGAGATTCCATCACATCTGCCCTTTGCTCCACAGCTCCCCTCCAAAGGTCCCCATCGCACTGCAGACGAAACCCAAAGTTCTCCTCCTGCCTGCAGGACCCAGCCGCAGCGCTTTTCAAACCTCAGCGAGCAAAGGAGCACCTGGGGATCTCGTTCAGTACAATGCAGAGCCTGATTCAGGAGGGCCAGGGCAGGGCCTGGGATTCTGTACTTCTTTTGGTGTTTTTGAGACAGAGTCTTGCTCTGTGGCCCAGGCTGGAGTACAGTGGCACGATCTCAGCTCACTGCAACCTCCACCTCCCGGGTTCAAGAGATTCTCTTGCCTCAGCCTCCCAAGTAGCTGGGATTACAGGTGCACCCCACTGTATCATGCTAATTTTTTTGTATTTTTTGTAGAAATGGGGTTTCGCCATGTTGCCCAGGTTGGTCTCAAACTCCTGGCCTCAGGTGATCCACCCACCTTGGCCTCTCAAAGTGCTGGGATTACAGGCGTGAGCCACTGCACCCGGCCTGGATTGTGCATTTCTAACAAGCTTCTGGTCCAGGAACCGCAAGGTGAGTGTGGATCCGCGCTGCACCCGGCAGGGGGCGGGGAGGGCGCTGAGCCATGGAAAAAGTTAGGTCCCCCGAGTGCAGCTCACCTCTTCCCTTCAGCCCAGAACGGCTCCTTTCACATTTTCAGGGACAGACCTGGGATGTGAAATTTCAAACTCTGCCCTGAGTTAAATTCCAGGAGGGGGTACCAAGAGCAAAGGATAAAGGCTGGGGGAGGGAGGAAAAGCCAGAGAGGATGTGTCCCTGCTGTTTTCAGCGACCCTCAGGCCTGGCCTGCTGAACTGTGTACACACACATCACCCCCACACAAGGTCTCCTTGGCCCCATCTTCCCAGGGACTTCGGGGGAGGGCAACAGAGCAGATGACAGCTCCTCTCTGAGCAGCTGATGCTGGGAGAAACCTGTGGCTTGCAGACCTGCCAGGCCCACAAAAACCACATCCTGAAAGATGGACCAAGTAGAAAAAAGGCCACCGTCCACCTCGGGCCAGCTTCTGGAACTGTCAGTTCCTTTGGGGAATGCCTGACACGTTCTTTTTTCTTCCAATTTCATCCCAAACCTTTTGGGAAGCAGGGTGCATAGCCTTACACAAGTTACTTAGAGTTACTGAACCCGTTTCCTCCTGCAATAAATGGGCACGTGCCTCCCTGCGCTGTTAAGGAAATTAAACCAGAAACTGTGTAAAGGCCCTGAGGCACTAAAGGTCAATTTGGGTTCCCGACCTCCTTCCCACCCACTGTCTGCCCTCCATCCCAGGCACACAACCAGAGAGATGTAAGAGGGACATAGCGGTTACCCAGCCCCTCTGGCATCTGACCAGGGTGGGCTAGTTGGGGTGAAAACGCATCTCTGTATATGAGTTGCTTCATACCTTTTGGCTTTAGTTTCCCCAGTCACAAAAGTGTGTCGGGGGTGGGGAAGGAGGACTATGATCCTCACAAGCCCTTTTACAGTTGGGATGTTAACCTTACATGAGAGAAATGCCTGGAAGAAAAGCATAGCTAGTTAGGAACACCGCGGGGGGCGGGGTTGGAGGCCGGGCAGCTCGGAGGCGCAGTATCCTATCTGGGCCACTAGGCGGCTCCGAGGACAACAGATGAGCAAAGCCCGGTTTTGCAGCCTGGTTCCGTCTTCAGACCTTTCCAGGCTTCTTCGCAGGCCTGGCGGACACCAGCCGCTGCTGGGTGGGAAAGGCCTGTCACTTCCAGGCTGGAATCTCTTTCCCATTTTTACAGACCTCGAGGATGGGAGGAGGCCGTCACCACAATGGAGTCCTGCCCTGGGATCTGATGGAGACATTGGTCCGCCCTTCGGTCAGACTCTAGGAGGCGTTGGGGGATCTCTGCTCTGCAACCCTTGGCTGAACCCCATCCTCCACTTCTTTCCTCCCGTCAGGTCAGAGTGGGAAGAGGTCTGGATTGGGATTCCCCCCTCCTGCACTTCCTGGCTGGGTAACCTGGATAATGGGGTAACAGTCCCCCCATTGCAAGGTCAGGGGAAGGACTAAGCGTCAGAATACAGGCCCTCAGTACAAGACGGTAGCTCATCCTAAGCCTCTCCTGCCTTTTGCTCTTCCAGTGGCTTTTCACCCAGAAGGAAGATCCTCACCTGCAGAACCTCTCCCCAGCACTAGGTCTTTGCAGGTGACAAGGCAATCCCAGCCTCCGCTCCCCGCAGATCAGCGTTTTTCGAAGTGACTTCCTCACCCAGGCGGAGCATTAAAAGTACCGATCCCAGCGCACCCAGCCCTGCTGAATCAGAATCTCTGGGGGTGAGGCCCAGGAATCGCCGTCTGAACAAGTCGCGGGCTGGAAACGGCTGCCCCAGATTACGGGGCAGCTCCCTGCTTTGCTCTCGCTCCTCCGGCCCCGGGAACGTGCAGGGGGGCGGGAGGCAAGTCCCATCAGCACTTTGAACTGGGGTTGCTTTTTCGTGACTCACCTCCCAGACTTCCTGCAACAGACAACTCTAAATAGCTCGGTCCCACCCTGCAGCAGGGGAGACATTCCGGTCGGGAAGGGCAGGAGGTTAGAAGGTGGGTGCCCCGCTAGGGCAGTCCAGGGAGATCCACAGGAGAAGCTGGCTGCACAGCACAGGGCCGCAGGAATAGGACGTTTTGTTTACAGGCTTTTGTTATTAAGGAAATTGCTGTCAGTCAAGGTAATTCTAGCTCAGATGAGCAATAAATATGCTCCCAGCTAATCTTATGGGGATTTTATTGGCACCCGGAGCACAGGTTCCTTTCCCTTGACTACCCCCTCCCCTCAAAGCAAAGCCCTGCTCCCCAGCTGCTTCCCCCAAGCATCGTGAGGGACTTGGGTCAGGCTTTTAAAAGTCCACTCTAAGTGAAGACAGAAGAGGTCCGGGCAAAGGTGAGGAGTGGCTTCCCGATCCTACCTGGAGGCCGGGGATGACCAAATGACCTCAAATAAAACCCTGGGTGACCTGGTTGGATCAAGGCATGCGCAAGCTACCCCGGGCCTGCTCCACACGCAGAGGTGGTCACCTGGCCCGCGGGCGGCCCGGGCAAGGAGGAATGTCTCGAGAAGGCAGCCGGCTCGCTGGAGTCGGTTCCAGCGTGTTCGAGTTACAGCTGCGAGCCCTCAGGGACACCGGCGGCAAGTCCCGGCTTGCAGAGAGGGGAGCCAGTCCCGGGAGAGCGCGAGTCCTGGCGAGCCCGAGTGCGCGCCTTATGCGCGCTCCCCGCGACGGCGCAGGGGGAGGGGAGGCCGCAGCAGCCACTCAGAGGAACGGTAGTGAAGCCTCCCAACAACTTTAACTGTCAATCAGACTTAATGGGGTATTAAAAAAATGGGGGAAAAAGGGGCCGCCCTCTCTCTCCGAGACGCAGCTGCCCGGGGAGCGAATGAATAGGGCCGCGCAGACCAAGGCGTCCGATCCACGCGCGCTCCACACCCGGACCCTCTCCAAGTTGGAAAGGACAAAAAGAAGGCAATAAATGCTAAAAAGGGAGAGAAGGGGAGCTGGATCGAGCGGCAACTCCCAGCCTCTGCTGGAACAGAGAGGGGAGGGAGGGAGCCGGAGCGAGCGAGCGCGCGCGAGGGCGAGCCCTGCACGTAAAGAAACTGACACCCGGACCCCCCACTTCTCCTGCACGTTGCTGGCAATCAGATCGCGTTTAAGCAATTTCCTGAGCCCAAGAATAGCAATGAGTCGGGAGACTTTCGCGGGCTGAAATTGGGAGCTCCAAGCACTTTTTTCCCCCACTTTTTTTTTTTTTTTTTTTTTCCTGGAGACGGGGTGGGGGTGGGGGCGCTACAATTTGGAAACAGCTTTTTTTTTTTTTTTTTTTTTTTTTTTTTGGTTTTGTTTAATCTTGCACTTTGAAACCGCGGGACCGAGGCAGGGTGAGCGCGTGTGGTTGGTGCCTTTTTTTTTTTTCTTCCCCTGCCTGAACTCCTCTGTCAGTCTGTAAACATTACCTGAGAATTCCCCAGCCGAAACGGCTGCTGGGGCAAGAAACTTCTTGTTAGAACTTTCCACCTCCAGCTTCCCCCTCCACCTCTTTTACCGTCCCAACCTTAGGAGACGCTTTTTCTCCCCCAGAGGAGAATTTATCTTTTTTTTTTTTTTTTTTTTTTTCTCTTTCACTCGGTGCTTTGCATTTGGGAAGAGGTGATTTCAAGAGTGGCCAGGTGGGACGCCTCTCTCCTCCTTATTCGGTTTACTATTTATTGTTCGGGGTGTTTTTTAATTCCTGTATTGCTCGGCCCGGGGACTTTCGCCCCCTGCCCGGCTCCGCGGCGCGGAGGATGGTGTGGAAACGGCTGGGCGCGCTGGTGGTGTTCCCTCTACAGATGATCTATCTGGTGGTGAAAGCAGCCGTCGGACTGGTGCTGCCCGCCAAGCTGCGGGACCTGTCGCGGGAGAACGTCCTCATCACAGGCGGCGGGAGAGGCATCGGGCGTCAGCTCGCCCGCGAGTTCGCGGAGCGCGGCGCCAGAAAGGTACCAGGCACTGCGACTCCAAGGAGTGGGGGGCCGCAGGGGAGGGGGTGAGCCCACCTGCTGCCGCTGCGGGATCCCGCTCCCGGGAGCTGAGAGTCAACGGCCACCCCACTCCCCCGTGCCACCCACGAGTGCTGAGCTAGTCGGTTTCACCTTGTAAATTTCCCGGGCACCGGACTGTCTTTTTTGGCAGGTTCAGAGTTGATCCGCTCCTTTGGGATCGGTGGCTGGCTGGCTATTCACCCCCACCCTGAAACTTAGGAGACCCACCCATTTCCCACATTCCTGCCTCCCAGAAGAAGATGTTGTGCCCCCCTCCCCCGCCTTCCCCCCTTTTTCTTGCCGCCACCCTGGTGAGTGCAGGGTGTGCGCACTCCTGGGTAGAGCTGGGAGCCGCCTGCTAGCTGGCGCCTCGTATTTTCCTTGGCAACCCGCTACCCAGCCCCAACCTGGGCGGCTGCAGCTCTGAAGACGCGAGAGGGGGTACTTGGTTTGGGTTTGAAAAGGGAAGAGCGGTCTGGCCGGACCGACACTGAGAGGCCCAGGTGTTTGGAAAGCAGGAAAGGGGAGGCCAGGGTAAGCAGCTACTGATAAAGAGCCCTTGTTCTCACCTTCAACCCTGTCCCCTCCCCCCAGCACACCCCTCGGGGATCCCTCCCCCTGTAGCTGGAAGGTGGTGCTGCAAGGAGGGTCCTGCCCACGACACAGCCTTTAACTTTTTGGTGGTTCAGGCACCCCTTGCTCCACGTTTTGGAGACCTGGTGCCGGAGAGTGGGGAGGGTGAGCAGGCTGTCACCCAACTCCCAGCCCAGGCCAGGCTGACTCACCCGGTGACCAGAGCCATCGGGAGAGGGAGGCAGGCCAGGCTGTCTCCAGCCAGCCCTGTGAAGAGGAAGAGCGAAAACAGGGAATTAGTTTGAAACTTAAACTGTTGTGAACTAGGGGGGTGAAAGGGCCGCAAAGCCAGCTGATCTGACATGGAGCCGCATACCTTGGGGATTAAGTAAACATGTACTGTAGAAAACCAAACCTGCATGTAATTCCAGGTTGCTTTTGTTTTGTTAAATGCTGCCCTGAGATTTACAATTCCTCCGGGGTGGCTCTGACTGGGACTGAACTTTGGAGCCTGAACTATCAGCCAAAGCCGATCCGATTAACTCTTCCCTAGCCGGGCTGGCCGGAGCGCGTGGTGGCCAAGCTAGCAGGGGTCTGGCTGTCCAGGACTCCCTCTTCTCCTTGGGTGGTTTGGACAGCTGCTTGACCTTGCATTTGGAGGGGGAGTTGGGAAGTGTTTTTAACCCTTGGACGCAACAAATAAGGGGAAGTAAGAGTTGTTCTCAGCAGTTTCATTTCCTTGAGGCGATGCCTCATGAAAGGGCTCCTGAAGTTCTTTGTGAAGGGGTCTCAAAAGGGCAGATGAGGGTGTCCTTTGTGGGGGGAAGTGGGGTTTAGGACAATTGCATGTGATTGTCATTCTTTAGCTGTCTGCATCCCACAGAGACTTTTTTCTGAGTCTTCCAGCTCTCCCAAGTCCTAGGTCTCTTTTACTGTTCTTGTAGCTGACTACAGTAGGCAGATGAGGAACTCTTAGTCAATCTGGAAAAACTCGACTGACTATAAACAATCCTAAATTGAAAGAAGTGTATGCCATTGGGGGGTGGGTGCGATAGTACAGAATGGAGCCTGCAAGTTCACGCACCGGGAGCCAAACCCCACCTAACTTGGACTGGACGTCTTCTTCCAGGGAATCCAGCCAGGGCCAATTAGAAATATGTCTTAAATTGGTGTCAGGGTCACCAAAAACAAAAACAGGATCCATGGGGGCCTGTGAAACTTCGAGTGCCATTTATAATCAGTTCAGTCATCTGACTCGCCAGGATGACCAGCAGTGCTCCCTGTAACTCGCCATTATCTGACCAATTACTGGAGCTACTTTATAATAAGGCTTCTGTTTGCTCTCATGGTGGGGAGTTTGGAATTGTGGCTTCTGGCCTGACACCAACGAGAGGACTTTGGGATAACCCCCAGAGCCGTGAGTGCTTTGGGGCCTAGTGGGGTTGGGAACAAAGGGTCAAGTGTTGAGGGAGTGGGGAATTTATGGGTTGGGGACAGGTGTGAACAGTGGCTTGGGGGTGGCCCAAGGGCACTGGATCAGAGAGGGTCAGTGCCACTCACAGCCTGCAGTGATACTAGACAGGGGGCGGCTGTGCAGAACCACAGATGACATTCCTTCTCCTCTTGATGGAAGTGGAGGCTGCGTCTGAGAGCTTCCCATCCTAGATTCTGATGGCTGCATCTGAGAGCTTCCCACCCTAGATTCTAGTGGGATTGGATCTGGAGGGGAAAGACCCCAAAAAGAAAAAAAAAAAAAAAGGAGTACCAGAATCTCTGCAAATAGCTGACATGTCCAGGAGTTATCTGTTTATTTGGGAAGGAGGGAGAGTTGACAACCCAGTTTCCCATAATGACCTTGAGTTAAATAGCATTTGGCAATATTCGTGGGTGGTGGTGAGCCTTAGAGTGCAAAGGTGGCCCAAATAAGCGAGGGCTTTTTTTAAAGGGACACTAAGGCTATAAGAATTTGAAAGCTCCTAATTAGGACACATCTCTCCTTATCCACAGTGCACTGTGGCAAACTGAGGCAGGGCCAGTCACGGTTAGGGTCTCCAGGCGTATAGCTCTTGCTTCTCAATTTTCTATGCCCTCTTAGAATTCCTTCCACAAAAGCATTCACAAACCTTAAGCTTATTCCCCTTCCCTCCAAGGGAACTAACTTCTGGCTAGTGGTCAGCCCAGGCTCCAGTCTTTGAGTTTGACATGGTGTTAGCAGGAACCCCTGGGAGGAGAAGTGGATCGTTCATTTAGAAGTATTTGTAGAGACCAGGCCGGGCGCGGTGGCTCAAGCCTGTAATCCCAGCACTTTGGGAGGCCAAGGCGGGTGGATCACGAGGTCAGGAGATCGAGACCATCCTGGCTAACATGGTGAAACCCCGTCTCTACTCAAAATACAGAAAACTAGCCGGGCGTGGTGGCGGGCGCCTGTAGTCCCAGCTACTCAGGAGGCTGAGGCAGGAGAATGGCGTGAACCTGGGAGGCGGAGCTTGCAGTGAGCCGAGATCGCGCCGCTGCACTCCAGCCTGGGTGACACAGCGCGAGACTCCGTCTCAAAAAAAAAAAAAAAAAAAAAGAAGTATTTGTAGAGACCATTCCAGCCTTTGGTTTGGTGTCAAGCAAGTGGCTGGACTAGAGTCTTGGGCAAACCTTGGGAGGTGGGGCAACATACACGAGCTCAATACCACATCAAGAACTCCAGGACCTTGGCTGGGAGCGGTGGCTCACGCCTGTAATCCTAGCACTTTGGGAGGCTGACGCGGGCAGATCACCTGAGGTCAGGAGCTCGAGACCAACCTAGCCAACATGGTGAATCTCCATCTCGACTAAAAATACAAAAAATTATCCAGGCATGGTGGTAAGCACCTGTAATCCCAGCTGGTCAGAAGGCTGAGGCAGGAGAAGTGCTTGAACCCGGGAGGTGGAGGTTGCAGTGAGCCTAGATCGCGCCATTGCACTCCAGCCTGGGCGACAGAATGAAACTCTGTCTTAAAAACAAACAAAAAAACAAACAAATACTCAATTCCCGTTTCCAAGAGGTAGTCTGAGGGGAGGTATTTCGGGGACGTAGTGTGGGAACTGGCTTGGAGTTCTGTCTTGCTATCAGTGAATTTACAGCATGTGGGTAGATTGCCCTGTTCCTAAAGCACCCAGCCAGGAACTAGCACTGTGAGTAGATTTATGAACCCCATTCTCCAGCACTTCCATTCAGCAAGTCCTATGTCCTTCCCATTCCTAGCCCTGGGGCCAGCCCAAGCTCATAAGTCCCTTGACTCCGTCTCTGAGAGACCTAGCTTAGCAAACCTGCCTGGGGTATCTGTACGGTGTTTGGCATAGCTCTGGGCCTGTAGGAAAATGTAGCAAAGATGAACAAAGACCTAGAATGTGGCCAGGTGCTTACAGTGAAGGCACAAATCACCATGCGTGTGTGCTTCCTGTGGTTACCATGACAAATTAGCACAAACTTGATGGCTTACCACAACAAAATGTATTCTCTCGTGGTTCTGGGGGCCAGAAGTCTGAAATCAAGGCGTCAGCAGGGTTCTGGGTTCCTCTCCACTCAGAGACCCCAAGGGAAGATCCTTCGTCATGTCTTCCAGCTCCTGGTGGCTCCTGATGCTCCTTGGCTTATAGAAGCATGGCTGCAATCTCTCCTTTCATCATCACATGGCCTTCCTCACTGTGTGTGTCTAGGTCTCGTCTTTTTTTTTTTTTGAAACAGAGTTTCGGTCTTATTGCCCAGGCTGGAGTACAATGGCGTGATCTTGGCTCACTGCAACCTCTGCCTCCCGGATTCAAGCAATTCTCCTGCCTCAGCCTCCCGAGTAGCTGGGATTACAGGCATGTGCCACCATGCCCAACTAATTTTGTATTTTTAGTAGAGACGGGGTTTCTCCATGTTGGTCAGGCTGGTCTCGAACTCCCAACCTCAGGTGATCCACCCACCTCGGCCTCCCAAAGTGCTCGGATTACAGGCATGAGCCACCACGCCCACCCCCATCATTTTCTTATAAGGACACTAGTTATTGGATTCAAGGCACATACTAAATCCAATGTGATTATATCTCAAGATCCTTAACTAGTTACAGCTCCAAAAACTCTTTCCAAATAAGGTGAGATTCTGAAGTTCTGGATGGGCATGAAGTTTGGGGGATGCTACATGGTGGAAGCACAGAGGAGCAGTTCATTTATAGCAAGCGCTCATGAAAGGTTTCATGAAGGAGGGAGCATTTGACTGAGCCTTGAAGAAGGTCAAGAGTTTCAACCAGAAGGGGTATGACAAGGGCAATCTAGGTGCAAGAAACCTCCTGATGGAAGGCTCTACCTGGCTGGAATTGCGAGAGGGAAGTAGAAAGGAAAGCAAGAAAATACTGTATCCTGGGATAGGG